TGGGCACAGGAGGCGGGACTGCTGTGGGTAAGACAGGAGTGGAGGGCGAGGCTGTGAGCTCGGGGCGGGGCTGTGGGGTCTGCAGGCCGGCCATCCTCTGACTTTTATCTCTGGGACTCCAGACTTTCCTGGCAGTGGGCCTGAATAGGGGCGGGGCTCTGAGTCTGAGATTGGAGTTATAAATTTAGGGGTTTCTCCTCAGGACTGGCTTTGGAGGTTGTGGGGGAACTTTCCCTAGAAGCGGGCTCTAGCCTGTGCGGAGGCTGTGAACTTGTGGGCGGGTGGGGGCTCTGAGCCTGTGGGTAGGGCCTGAGTGTGCCGGCTGGTGGTATTTTATGAGATGTTTGGGGTACAGGGCTCCAGTGGGAGGATAGGACACTGGGTCCGCGAGAGGAGTTCTGAGCCTGAGAGGCGCTGGATGTCAGGGGACAATGCTCAGCGCCTGGGACTGAGGATTTCCTAGGGATGGGACTCAGTGGCATGCGACAACACTTCTGGGGGCGGGGCTGTGTGGCGGGTGGAGCTTTCCTGGGAACAGGACACTTGGGAAGGAGTCAGGGGGCGGGGCCCTGAATCTGAGTGTGAGGCTCCTCCCCCAACTGAGCTGCTCCGGTGGACAGGGCTCAAGCCTAGGGGTGTGGCCGGAGCTTCTAGGGGTTTCCCCTGAGGGCGGGGCCCTGACAAAGGCGAGGCCCTGGGATGGTCACCTACCTCCATCCATGCAGCAGGAAGCCGGGGCACTGCTCCCTGCAGGAGTTGCAGGGCTGGCCGCGGTCTGGGTCCTCTGCGTCTGGAGGCTGAAGTGGGTGGGGGCGGACGCGGGACCAGGCGAGGCGCGGGGGCGGGGAGAGAGAAGTCAACGCCCACCTCTCCACTCCAAGGCCCGCGACCGCACGCTGGGGCCTGTCCCACCAGGGCAGCGCTGGGCAGGCTGGGACAGCGCCGGCAGCGCGGGGGAGGAGGACGCAACTGAGGTAGAGGCGGGGCAGCTGAGGCCACCTCCCTATATACCCCCTTTTCAGGGAATTCCCTTCCCCCTCAACCAGCCTTGGATACCTCCCACCTGCCTCTGACTCCTTCAGGCCTCAAACACCTCCCCCAGAACTCAGAATACTCTCCCCACCGGAGCACAGAGTCCCTAATCTCGGTGTCTCCTCCCAGGCCTCATCTTGGCCCCTTCTCCACCCAGGAGGCCAGCAGCACTCCAGTTCCACAGGGTGGGAGTCTGAGGCCCCATCCTTACTTGGGATCCCCACATGAACCCTGCCCTTCTTTTCTGAATCTCAACAGCCCCTCCCCCAAACCCTGGCTTCCCCCTTTCATACCCAAGGAACTGGAGACCCTCCTTCAGGATCTCAGGAGGCCCCTGACCCATTCAATAACCCCCACCCCAAGAAGCCTTGGCCTTTACCCTTCATATCCTAGGGCTATTCACTCCTCTGGACGACCGAACCCAGACCCCACTTAAAGACCCCCTCCAAAGGTAGAGCAACCCTGCTATCTAGGAACTCAGAAAGCTCCTGGCTCAAGTAGAAGCCTGGAAGCCCTCTTCCCCCACATCCCAATCCCTGGACCCTTAGTATTCAGGCACCCCAGGAGTGTGGGACCTCACCCCTAAGATCGCCTTCTGCCAAGGTACAGGGAAAGTCCCTTCCCCCTTCCCTCCGAAGCTCAGGAGGTCCTCGCTCAGTCCAGGACCCCAGGATCCAGTCTTTTGGCCCTTAGAATCCCCTGCCAGAATTCACACAAGAGGGGAGCCCACCAGGTCCCTGGGGTGCTGACAGAAGTGTGCAGAGAGGTGATTAGGGAGCAGGTGCCACCTTCCTCAATCCGCACGCTTCCAGCAGCCCCAGCCCCTCCGTTCTGGGAATCTGGGGATGGGGATTCCCAAACCCTCGGTGGAGCGCCTCCTCGTTATCCCAATCCCCTGCCCCCTCTCCTGGGCCTCAGTTTACCCCTGACTCCCACCTCTGCCCCGAGCCTCGCTCACCGCGCGCCCGGAGCGGCGCCTCCGGGACCCACGCGCGAACATGGCGCGCCCGGGCAGGGTCAAGCCGGGCAGGGTCAGGCCGATGGAATCCTCGCGGCCGTCAGGCCACCGCGCGTCCGGCCTGGGAGCTCTGTTCCGTAAATCTGACACCGGCGTGGGAGGAGCGCGCCCCGCACGGCCCGCCCCTGGCCCTGCACTCACTCCCGGGCCAAGGCGCCCCCTGCCTAGAGGTGAGGGGCAGGCAGCCCAGGAGCGCCACACGGGAGAGCTCCCCAGCCTTCCTGCCCTGGGCCGGAGCCAGGCCTCGGAAGGCTCGGCCCCCAGAGCCCCAGGGTAACACATGGCCTCTCACGGAATATTCCAGGACTTGAGGGCTCTGTAGTGGAGGAGGGGGGACTTGGAAGTGGTGCGCTAGGGTATTCGTGTTGGCGTTTCGTGTCCGTTTCTCTTGGATGTTTATTTGGAGGAGGGGTTAAAGCCACCTCTTGCCCCCCCCCCCCACTGGTGATGTTCCGAGGGTCTCTTTCCCCCCGGATGAACGCTGCAAGAATGATCCCCAAGCCCATCGCAGTCCCAGCTGGTGCTCCCTCGCCACCATCAGAGAGCTAGCTCTTAAACACCCCCACAGCCCCCACTCCCAAACCCTATCGGAGCCAGGACTACTTGAGACTAATGGGGGGAAGACGTTCAAGTCACTGGCCAGGTTCCGAGGCCCCACTCCCCGCTCCCTCCCCTTCCTCACAGGCCCAGCTGTCTTGTCCCCCTAAGTCCTGAGAAATAGATCTTAAAGCCTTCCCTCCCTGGCTCCTATTTTTCTCTCTCCAGTTAGATATCCCTTTCCCTGAGCTCAGCCCCATAGCTGGGAGTCTCTCCTTCGCATGTCAGGCTTCGCTGTGCCTCAGGGCTGGGAGGAAGGGGTCCCCGGCCCGCCGTCAGAAGTCGGGCGCCGGGCAGGGGTTTCTAATTAGGCTAGGTGGCGGCAGCAGCAACCAGCCTTTCGGCGTGGGCACAGGGTACCTCCTCCGTACCCAGCTCCATTACGCACATCCCAGTCACTTCCCGCCCCTCCCTGCCCCAGGGAGGAGCCAGGGAGGGGTTAAAGGGAATGAATGAATGAGGTAACGAGTCACCCCCGTGCTCCGCCTCCTGGCCTTGCCGCCCAGCGGGTCTCCCAGTTCTCCAGTTGGGGCGCGGAGAGGAAATGGCGAGAAAGCTGGGTCTGAAGAATACGAGGCGGGTAGGTAGGGGGTAGGGCTCCCTGTGAAGTATAGGGGTCCTAGTTGGACCCCTTGGGGTTTGAGGACAGGGCTCCACAAGGGCCTGGGAAGGGGAGTGGCTAGTGGACCAGAATTAGAACCGAACCCTAGAAAGACCGGGCCTTCGCCAGCCAGTAGTGGGGCAGTGGGCAGGGCTACTCGGAGCGGGACTTAGAATGATCGACAGGGGAGGCTGCACGGAGGCTGCAGCTTGGCCTAACCCGGCTGGAGGGACCTAAAGTGATGGGGTGACTTGAACGGCAGGTCCATCCAGCAGGTCAGGGGCGGAGCTTCCTCTCGCCGCCTCTCCTCCACCTCTCCTTCTTCCTCCCCCCTCCAAAGAAAAAAGACACACTGAGAAATCAGGGCCGGGTGGACTAGGTGGTTGAGGAATTTATTTAGGGGAGGAGAATTAATCCTATTTGTTCTTCCTTGGGGAGGTCTTCAAACAATACCGAAGGGCTGGGAAAAGCGGGGGGGGGGGCGTCTGGAGGAGAGGGGGAGGGACCACAGCCAGACAAAATGGCATACACAATCACAGGCACTACCGACGTCACAGACACAGCGGAGGGTGCAGGAGGGGGACTCCAGACCGGGCCTCCAACCACCCCGGGACGGGCGCGGGTGTGGAGGGAGGGAGGAGGCAAGGAAAGGGGGGAGAGGGGTGGGCCGGCCCCACAGACCCGTTGGCTCTGTCCTCTGACTACATAGCTGTGCCATCACACGGGGCTGGGCAAAGGTGTGGGGGCATCTTCTCTCTGGATCCCACCCCTTACCCTCCAAGCCTTACCTCTCAGCTCCTCCCAGGCCACCTCAGCCCTCAGCTTTGACTAGGGATATTCCCCCCTCCACTGCCAAACCCGCCCACTTTAAAACATTTTTTTCACTGCTCCATTGGGGTGAGCTGCCCCTTCTGAAACCACCATGAACACCCACTCTACGCCCCGCCCTGTCTAGAACCCAGACCGCGACCTCATGTCAAACTTGGCCCATTCCTGAATCCCACTTCTTGCCTTGCACAAGATCTGCCCCCCTTAGAATCAAACTCAGTCTCCTGAATATTCCTAGCTACACCCCTTCCGTGCACTCTGGTCCCAATCCAAGACCCGCCCACTCTGGAGCCTCACCCCCTGCCTGGTTCAGGCCCCACCCCTCTAGAACCCAGTCCCCAGATCCCAGGTCACACCCCTTCCATAAAACCCTGTCCTATTCCAAACCCTGCCCACTTTTGGGCCCAGACCCCTGCCTCACTCAAAGCTCCACCCATTCTAGGACCACGCCCTCAGCCTCCTTCCAAGCCCTGCTCCAGAATGCTCTAGGGCACCCCTCTTCCTTAGACTCTAGTTCCAGTATGTCTGGAACCCAAACCCCTTGCCTACTAGTCCTCTCCACCCCAGAGCTCCTCTACAAGTCCACCTTGGGTCAAGTCCCCCAGCTTGCCTTTCTCCCCTCTCAGGGTTGAATTTCCCCTAATGGCCCCTGTTCAGGCATTGCTGGAGGAGTCAAGGCCAGTTGGGAGAAGGGAAGGGAGAGAGGGGAGAGAGTCTGAAGTCACACCGACCCTCCCCACACAGCTGAGACCTGTCTTTTCCCTGTCCCCCTTTCAGAATGCCCCAACCTCAGGGCACAGGGCCAGGGAACAGAGAGGGGCCAAGGGATGCAAGGGAAAGGGTGGGGTTAGGAGAGGGGCCCACTCAAGGTCAGGCCCCTAATGCATGAGGGGTGTGGAGTGGGGGCAGGGCTCAGACAGATAAATAGATATTTATATATAATATATATATATATAAACAGCAAAGAGAGTTAGAGTCTCCTGGCTTGAGGGGCAGAGACCTGGGGTATAGGAGTGGAAAGGGGGGCAGGGCTTCTGAGCTCTTGCCCACCCATGGGGTCCTCCCGGGCCGCACTGACCTGTGGAGACAAAAGACACAGAAAAGAGAGGGGGTCCAGACATAGGTTGTGCCCTTAGGGAGGGGGGCTGGGCTGCTATGCCTCCACCTTGGCTTTACCCTCTGCCTGCCATGCCTTTTCTTCCTTCCTTCTTCATTCATAGTCCTCGGGTCAGCTTCATCCCAGCTGCCCCTACTGCGAAGACAGACCTTTCGCCCACTAGATTAAGTACCAAAGACATTATGGTCCCCCCTCCCTCAACCCCAAAATGTCCATTAACATGTACTGTTCTAGCCATTGGTGATACACTGTATTGGGCAAAACAAAGCTCCTTATCTTTGTGGTGCTTGCCTTGTGACAGAGAAGACAGACTTCAAACAATAACAAAAATATGTGAGTTATCTATCCTCACAATAGCCTTACGAGGTAGGACATCAGGTGATAGTACGTGCAATGTAAAAACAAAAGGTAGACCAGGGTGAGGAGGATTAGGAGTGGCAGTAGAGGAAGAAATGTAGCTGTGGTAAGTAGGGTAGTCAGAGAAGACCTCATTTAAGAAGCGATATTGGAATAGAGTTAAGGAGGTGAGGGAATGAGCCATGCAGATAACTGGGATGAAGAACATTCCAGGCAGGGGGAACAGCCAGTGCAAAGGCCCTGGGGTAGAGCCATGTCTAGTGTGTTTGAGGACCAGGAAGAAGGTCAGTGGGGCTCCAGTGGAGTGAGCAAGGGACAGTGGTAGGAGGCGATGTCAGAGAGGTCGGTAATGCGGTCATAAAGGGCCGTGTGGACTAGGTTGTGAGGACATCAGCTTTGACTCTGGATGAGGTGTAAGTCACGGGAAGATTTTGAGCAGAGAAGCATAAAATGAGAGTAAAGTGTCTCACGTCGTTTCTATTATTTCCTCAATAAATGTTTCTTAACATTAGTAGGGCTCTAAGTGATGTGTGTACAGCATGAGTAAGTCATGGTCACGTCCTGTGGTTTAGTGGAAGAGATAGTCAATAAACATACAAACTAATAATTACAGACTGTGGTAAGAAAAACACGGGGTACTATAAGAGAGATAAGAAAGGGGACTTTGGGGCGCCTGGCTGGCTCAGTCATTGGGCGTCTGCCTTCGGCTCAGGTCATGGTCCCAGGGTCCTGGGATCGAGCCCGGTATTGGGCTCCCTGCTCGGCGGGAGGCCTGCTTCTCCCTCTCCCACTCCCCCTGCTTGTGTTCCCTCTCTCGCTGTGTCTCCCTCTGTCAATAAATAATAAAAATCTTCTTAAAAAAAAAAAAAAAAGAGGGACTTTAAGAAGCTGGCCAGGTAAGGTTATCAGTGTGTGTGGGTGGAAAACTCCAGGGGAAAAAGCAAGTACCAAGGCCCTGAATTTGGCTTGTGCCTGGAACGCAGTTGGGGGTGGGGAGTGGGAGGAGGTGGGAGGTCAGAGAAGGGACAGGTGACGCTTGGCGTCATGCCTGGTGAGGGCTTTGGCTTTTAAGGTGAGTGAGATGGGTGCCCAGGCAGGGCTCTGAGCACAGGAGGGCCGTGTCCAGATTTAGGATTTAACAGGATCCTTCCCGATGCTGTGAGTAGAACAGAATGGGGATGCGGCTAGAAAGCTGTGAAGATGTCCAGGGGAGAGGACAGTGAGACGTGGAAGCTTATGGATATATTTTGAAGGTAAGAGTCAACAGGAGTTTTTGATTAATTAGACGTGAGATACCTAATAAACTCCTCCCTGCCCTTTCCACCCTGGCCAAGTGCCAGAAGCTACCTCCACCCACGTGTTGCCGTCCCCCTGCCTCTTCCCATTTCCCTCCCTCATAGGTGAGGAAATCACACTTCTCTTTTGAGGCCCAGCAAGAAGGCCTGCCAAGCTTTCCATCGCTTCCGCCCGCCCCCTTCCTTCCGTGAAATTCCACACCACCTCCCTCACCACAGGGGTTGGGGAGAGATGGCAGATCGATCACCTCCTCCGGGATTTATGAGCTTGTCTGACCTTCATGACCCAAGCCCCTTTACCCTCACCATCTAGTGGTCTTATTAGAACATGCTGGTTTACCAATCACTTCTAAGGCCCACCTCCTCTTCCCTTCGTGGATTCCTGCGCTACGCAAGTCCCCCTGCCATTCCCTTCTTTCATTGGTTGCTCTGCCCGCTTTTCTCTCCCCTCCCTTCCCTCAGGGAGGCACTACTACTTCTCTCCCATTGGCTTTTCATTCTGCCCATCTTCAAGCACCACTCTCTTGCTCTCCATTTGTTGGCTAGTGTTTCGTCCTTCGCAGGTAGCTCCGCCTCCCTATTGGCTCCTTCAGAACCCCACCCCGTGCCTACGTACCATTTACTCTTGACTCTTATTGGCTCAATGACCCGCCCGTCTCCCTTCCTGTACCCTCCTTGGCCGCGCCGCCCGCCCGTCACTCACCAGACTACATCTGATTGGAGAAGGAGGTGGGCGCACCCTGAGGGCCATAGCCTTGCTGCCCGTAGTCTCCCTGAGGGCCGTAGCCGCCGCCGCCGCCGCCGGCGGGCTGCCCGTAGTCGGGCTGGTAGCCGCCCTGGGGCCCGTAGGAGTCCTGGGGCCCGTACCCGCCGGGGCCCTGCCCGTAGCCCGCCTCGCCATAGGCGTCCCCGGGCGCTGGTTGCTTCTCGGGGGCGCCGGGAGGTGCGCGCATGAATGGGGCAGCCCAGCCTGTCTCCTTGAACACGAACCACAGGTTGCCGACCCAGAGCACCAGGTTCAGGAAGCCGAACACCTGCGGGGAGACAAAGCCTGGCTGTCGTCCTGCGCCCATTGAGTTGGCCTCGGGGGACGTCGAGGCCGCCTGCGTCGAGCATAGATCCGTGGCCTCCCGAAGGGTGGTGGTAATAAAACCCGGACCCTCTAGAGTCCTGGCGCATGAACGCAAATGTGCAGAAAATTCACCTGGGGTAGGGGGCATGGGCCGTGTTAGAATTCAGACTCTCGAGGATGTTGACATCTATCACTATGACATACACACATTCATACATGTATAAAATATAATATAAATTTGTAATAAAGTGTTAAGCATAAATTTTCATTATGTATGTAGATATACCACTAACAGATGCATATATACATATGTAGATACGCATATACAAAGTATATAAATATACGCTTTTATATTGAAACAAATATGGAGCTTAAATATATACAATATAATTCAATTTTGGGACAGGAAGTAATATCTCCTCTTTACAGTTGAGGAAACTGAGGCCCAGAGAGGCTAATGTGTTCAATGTCTCACACCCAGCAGGTGACAGAAAAAAAGTTGGTATCATCTTAGTATCTGTAACACTTGTATACAACTTACCACATGCCAGGCCCTTTTCTAAGCACTTTGTATGCTACCAGTTCACTGAATACTCAACTTTGGAGCAGGACCTCTTATCAGTTTTCAATTTACATGCTCAGACTGAGGCGGAGAGTTTGAGTTACTAGTTTGAGGTCCCAGAGTTCCAGGTGGCGGAGCTGGGCTTGAAGCTCAGACAGTCTGACTCTGGCCAGTAGGGGGAGTCCAAGTGGGAAACATTTCAAGTTATTCTTCATTTTGCATACTGTGTAAGGACACTGAGGTCCCAAGACGGTACTGAGTTGCCAGAGGTTCTCCACGACTAGGCTGGGCCTGGGATCCAGATCTCCCAAACCTAATCGGACAGACAGTCTCATATTCCCCTCCCGGGGACTATTTGTTTTAATTGCTATCTTATCCTTCAAGGCCCTGTTGTTGGCATGCCTCCTCCAGGGAGCCCTCTTGGATCTCCTTTGAATTCTCCCCTCATTCTATTCTCTCCGCCACTCCCCAGGCCAGACTGTGAGTTTCCCAGCCTCCCTCCCCACTGGCCCAGCGGCCCAGCCACCTTCCCAGGGCTTACCACTGAAGTGTTGAGGCCAGAGGTCACAGGGTCCCTCAGCTCCTTGCATGTATTCCCCGTCTGGTGGCAGACAGACATCCCTTTGATAATGTTCTCTGGGTCAGTGGCCATCTTCACGTCTGACAGCCCCTTGGCCCACGCTGATGAGCTAACCAGCCACATGAAGGCGAACACTGCCGTGGCCAGGAAGTCCTAGGACAGGCAGGGGAGAGGCAGATGGCACTGTGAGCGGGCTGCTTCATGTCATGCTGCAGGGCCTCCTCAGATCACAGGCTTTCTTGGGAGAGGGAGGCCCTGCAGAAAAGCCCTGTCTCTCCCCTGCCTTTTCAGCTCTGAAGCCCCCAATACTCACTTGAAGGTGAGCATTCCTAGCTTGGGCGTGTGTGTGTGTGTGTGTGTGTGTGTGCGTGCGCGCGTGCGCGTGTCTGTGACACAGAGGATGTGGGAGTGTAATTGTGTGTGGGGGAGATTTTGTGGGATGGTTTCCGAATCTGTGAAAATAGCGTCTTTCTACTTTCATCTGAATGTAGGAATTTATGTCATTTTGTGTCTGGGATGAGGGTGTTTGAGTACAGCTGTGTAGGAATCAATGTGTCTGGGTGGCATGATGACAAGCATGACTGTCACAGTGAACCTCTGTGCACCTTCCTTTGATCTAGACTGTGTGGTGGTGTGTGAGGTGGCAGGTTTCCAAAGGTAGGCCTGTCTGGGATTCTGTGTGGGCTCTGAGTGTGTCCCTGTCATTCTATGATTCGGTTTCTTTGATGCTCACAGCAGCGGCAGCAGTAACATCTGTGGCTGTTATGGTGACCTGCCGGCATGTGGGGCTGTCTAGGGTTTGGGAGTGGCCTATGAACATGGCCATGTCCCTGAGGCTCCATGTCCCCCCCCCGGGCCCTGCACTTGAGTGGCTATGGGGGGCTCACCATCATGGGTCCTTTGTTGTTCTCTCGGTACTTATTCTGCAGGAAGATGTAGGTGGCCAGAGCCCCCATGGAGTACAGAAAGGCAAACACAGCTATGGTGACAAAGAATTCGGCCGATGAGGAATAGTCCCCCACCAGGAAGATTTTCTCAGTGTCCCCTCGGCAGGTGGGTGCATCAAAGTACACTTGGTGCAGCCTGTGGAGAGACATGGCAGGTGTGGGCCAGACCCTAAGAACACCCACCATCCCCCTTTGCCCAGTCATGGGTTCCCCAGATTCTGACAAGGTCCCGGGAAGAAAGAGGAGGAAATAACCATTCACAGAGCACCTGCTGTACACCAGTCACATTTTCCTGATTGTTCACAGCATCCCGGTGAAGTAGGTCTCATTCAACCCTTACTCCAACCCAGGCACTTTGACCTCGTGGTTATTTGTAGAACATACCAGGCACCCTCCCACCCCAGGATCTTTGCACTGGGATGCCCTTCTCCTAGATATTACTCCCTTCATGTCCTTCAAGTTTTGCTCAACTGTCACCTCAGTGAGGCCTTTCCTGATCTCAGTATTCAAATCAAATGGAATCATTCCCTCCCAGTGCTCCTTAGCCTCCTTCCTAGCTCCGTTTTTCTCTGCAGCAGTGATACCCCACGCATCTGACATATCATGTGTTTTACTTTTTTCCTGGATTTTTCCTGTAATTAAAAGAGGGCTGGGCTTTTTCATTTGTTGCGTTCACTGCTATATCCCTAAGACCTGGAACAGTGCTGCCACATAGTAGGTGCTCAGTAGATGTTCATCAAATGAAATGTACAGAGGCTCAGAGAAGTGCATTAACTTGCCTAAAGTCACACCGCTGGGGAGAGAATGGCACAGTTGGGCTCTGAACACTGTGTTGACTCTTCTCCCTACCCCACTTCAGGTCCCCAAGAGAAAAGAAACGTATGCATAGCAGGGGAGAGCACAGAGACTACAAAACAGAAGACAGACAGACAGACAGACAGGAGGGTAGGAGGGATCCTGGAGCACACAGAATGGATGTATGTGAGGTGGGGAGGCACAGGTTGGGAAGGTGTCCTGGGACTAAGGCCTTTCCTGCGGTGTAATGGAGATCATAGGGAGAAAATGCGTGTAGGGAGAAGGTCTGGGGTGGGGTCCTTAGACCTCTGGCCTCAGGCTGGGGGGCAGGATCCTGAGACTGAGCAAATGGTGCTAGTCCCCTTGTGTGGCAAAGGTCCTGAGGGAAGGGGCTTACACTTATTGATCACCTACAAGGCACTTTAGATAATTGCCTCATTTAGTGACCCTCCCCCCCCAATTCTCTAAAGCAGGCGTTAGTATATCCATTTTACAGATGAACAGAGGCTCAGCAGGGTTGTGTTAAGTTGCCCAAGATTGTACAGCTGCTAAATGACGGAGTGAAGAGTTGAATCTGGGTAAGTTTCTGGGTTCCTAGTAGGCTGGGTTGGGAGAGGGGGTGTCTGATGGGAAATGGGGGGCCCTTGGGGGGTTATCAGGGCAGTGGGGGTCGGTCAGGGGGACCAGGGCAAAGACTTTTTTCCCCAGGAGACTTGTGGGTAAAAGGCAGATCTTCACGACTGGAGGTCCTAGGTGTGGGAGCTCCTGGGGAGTCCACAGGTTCTTGTGGCCTTCTGGATTCCCAAAGGACTCCCAGCAGTATCCCATGCTGCCAGCTCCCCTCCTCCCCGAAACTCTGTTCCCGGGCTTCTGTGAACCAGTGGATCCCTGCTCCCCACTGTCCCTCAGGCCACACCTCCCTCCTGCCGCTTTTTCTTTCAACCGTTGCTCAGGGTCTGTCCTGGATTTTCCTCTCTCCACTCTTCCCTCTCCCCCCTGGGTGATCCCCTGAGCCTACATTTATCCTTAGTGCTCAGAAGTGCCCAATTTCCAACTCAATCCCTGACCTCTTTCCTGAGTCCCTTAAACTTATTTATTTTCTTTATTGTGACAAGCCTTCGTGGAGCGCTTATTGTGTGCCCTGCGCTGTGCTAAGCACTTTACAAGTATTAACTCAGTTGCTATGCTTCATAACCTTGTAAGGGGTATAATTATCCCCTTTTACCGACAAGGAAATTGAGACCTGGAGCAGTTACGTGATTTGTCCAAGGAGTGGAGGAACCTCAGAAGCCTCTACTGAAATTGTGTCTGTGGGTCTCTGTCTCCCCACTCCCCAGGAGGGAAGCATCATTGCGAGGGCAGTGACCTTGCCTGTTTGTGCTTGTCCTCATGTTCCTAGCACCTGGCACACAGTATGAGCCCAGTAAATATCAGAATTGCTTAGCTGGGTTTAATCATTCCCTATAGCTAATCAGACCCCTTCGTTATTCTCTGGGATAAAACCCTGCACGAGGACCCCTTCTTTGAATTTCTCCCGGTCTGCAATCATCCTTTTTATTAATTTATTTGTTAAAATGTTGGCTCCATGACGCTAGGGAGCTTGGTCTGTTTTTTTTTTCCCCCTGTTATGTCCCCAGCACTTTGAGCAGAAACTGGCATACAGTAGGTTCTCCAAAAAAATGTATATGGAATGAATGAATGGGAATTAAATAATATTGGCTGACATTAATTGAGCAACTAGTGCTCTGAGGCTATTTATCCGTATATACTTCTACTTTTGAATCTTGTTTATTGCCGGTCTCCTGCCCCTCCCCATTCACTAGAACACAGCCAGAGGGCAACAGCCTATGCCTGTCTTGCTCACCAGATGTCCTAGATGTCCAGAGCAGTGCCAGGCACAAGGTAGGTGCTCGGTGCATGCGCAGTGACCTGAGCCAGTGTGGTCTCCTGAGGTGGGGGCTGAACAGGAGCCACCAGGGAGGCAGTGTTGGCCAGTCTTACCCCACCCCTACCCTCTCTCTGGGGATCCCCCCCGGGGTGGGCTGGGGTGGGGGGGCACACCTGAAGGGGTACTCGAATTCAACCTCGATGCTGAGGTCGCTCTCTGACTTGTTGGCACACTCCACACTCAGCCGGAGCTCCCCGGAGTAGCTGCCGCACGTGGCAAAGGCGAAGATGGCAAAGACCTTGGGCAGAGGGGACGGGGGCGGTCACCGTGAGCCTGTGCACGTGTGGGCTGGGTTGCCCTCCCCTGTACAGACCGGGGCCCAGTACAAGCAGCAGCAGATGGACCAGCTCCCACCCCCACCCCCTAATCAGGGCTCCTCGGCTCCAAGGACAAGCTGATTACAGGGGTGTGGCTGTCTCTTCCAGTCTTTCTCTCAATGTCTCTCTCAGTCTCTACCTCTCAGTGTTCTGACCCACCTCCTTCTCTCTTCTGTCTCAGTCTCTTTATTTCTCTGTCTCTCTGTGTATTTCTGCCTGTCTTACGTTGTTCTCTGTGTCTCTATTTCTCTTGGTATCTGTTTCTCTGTCTTTCTCAGATGTCTCTTTGTCTCTGTATCTCTGTTTCGCTCTCTGCCTCTGACTCTCTAGTATCGATGTAGGTCTCTGTCTGTCTCTTTTTTCCCTGGCTTCATCTGTGTAAATGTATGTCTCTCCCTCTGTGTGTTTCTGTCCTTGGTCTGTTTGTCTCTGTCTCCCTGCTCTGTCTCTGACTTGGTCTCTGTATCATGCTCTCTCTGTCTCCCTTGTGCATCTCTCTTTCTCTGTGTATCAGTTTCTCCTTTCCTCTCTCCTGTGAGTATCTCTCTTTCTCTGTTTCTGTCTCTCCCCCATCCCATTTTTCCCCTGCCACTCTTCCTGTGTCTGTTTCTCTTTGCATCTCTGTTCTCTGTGCATCTCTGTCTCCCTTTTTCATTGTCTCTTTCTGCTTGTCTCCACTCTCTTTCATCTCTCTGTCTTTTCTTCTCGGTATTTTCCATCTCTGTCTCCATCATTCCCTGTCTCTCATTCTCTCAGTCTCTTTCACTGTTTCTGGATTTCTCTGGCTTTGCATCTTTTCCGCAGCAACCAGCTTCAGGCTCCACCTCCCCTGCCCCTCTCTCACCTCAAGGGAGGAGATAGGACGTCACATTCTTCCACCTCACAACGGGGGTACCCTTGGTCTTACATGACGTCACATCACAGCCCATCTATTCTCTGGCCCCAGCCCTTTGGGACCTCACCCTGGAGCCCAATTCTTCCATCCCCTTCCACCCCCACCCACCCACCCATTCATTCCTTGCTCCCCACCCCTACTCTTCCAGACCCCACCACCTCCTTCTCTTTCCCCATGGCCCAGACCACACTCACCCATTGCAGCACCTTCACGAAGCCAAGGGGCTCCTTGACCACCCGGAACTGACCCCCGGCCACCAGCTGAGGAGAGAAATGGTGGGGAGGGGGTGGGATTGTTGGGGATGGAAAGGGAGGTGAGGGGCAAGGCCACCAGGCGATGACCCCTGGGACTAGGGCATGTGACCTCCGGGAGTGAGTGATGTTGGGAGAGAAGGGGTGGGAAGGAGAAAGTGACACTTCAGGGAAGGTGTGACCACAGAGTCTCTGAGAGAAGACCCTTGGGGTTCAGGACTGAAGGGGAGGTCTGGGGAGATGGTGAGGTTGATGGCAGAGGGTTGTTGGGGTGAGGAAGATGGGGATGGGGTTGGGACTAATTAGGGAAGGGGAGAAGGTCTGAAACAGTAAAGGTGAGTCAGGTGGTGAAGGGGATCAGGTGGAGAGAGTGAGGAAGGAGTCGGGGTTCATTAGGGTGGGGGAGGGGGTCTTGGGTGGTGAAGGTGAGTCATAACAGGGAGGGAGTCAGGTTGGCTAGGGTGGGGGAGGGGTCTGCAGCGGTAAAGGTGAGTCTGATGGTGGTGGTGGTGGGGTTCTGAAGTGATGAGGATGGGGAGGGGTTGGTACTGGTTAGAGAGAGGGTGAGGTTCTGAGGTGGTGCAGAAGAGCGAGATGGCAGAGAGGGTATGGGCTGATTGAGGTGGAGGAGGGCTGGGACATGGCTTCACTGGATATGCCTTGGGGGAGGGGGAGACTAGGGGTTTTGGAGAGGCGAAGTCGGATCGTCTCCCTTGGTCTGCTCTGGGGGAAGGGGTGGTCATCTACTGGGGTACCTTCCCTGGGAGGGGCAGGTGTCAGCCCTCCCCCCGTCCCCCTCCCCCACGCCTTCTGTCGCTCTATTTCCTAGCTCATCTACGAGCAACCCCCATCTTCCTTCAACTCTTCCTCCTCTCCCCCTCCCCGTTGCCCCTACTCTAGCCCCAGGACCCCTCTTCCTCTCCTCATGATCGCCGGTAAGGAACCGGGCTTCTGGCGGACCCCGCTGCGGCAGTGAGGACGGCCCTCGCTGCGGCAAAGGGCGCGCTCCTTCTTTTCTCCACCTCCCCCTTCCTCCCTCGCCTGCCGCAGACCCCAGCCCCAGTGCCGGGGACCGAGTGTCCGCTGCCAGGACCCTGGCCACCACCTCTCAGAGTCGCCTGATCCGCGGCGATCCGGGCGGGGAGGCCGGGCAGCGGCGGGCTCTGTCCTCGGTGCTGGAACGCGTACCTGATTCACCACGTCCATGTCTGCCAGCAGCAGCATCAGCAATGCGGGGGGCGGGAGGCGCCTGCTAACAAGGGCGGGCGCGGGGCGCGGCGGGGGCGGCGCGCGATCGTCGGAACAGCCCAGGCTGCCGCGGCTCCGCCCCTCGCGCCCCCGCCCCACTCGCGGCGCGCGCCTGCACACCGCGGGCCGACCCGAAATCTCGCCGGCCGCCATTCCAGCCCTAAAGCTGGAGCCGCGAGAGCGCTCTGGGAAGATCGGTGTCTCGGAAAACACATCTAGAGGTCTGGGGAGAGGAGGACCGTTCGGTCCCACGGTACGACGTTTTTGCCAGGCCCTTTACGGAGTTTGTTGACTGTGTTCCTTACAACAGCCCTATGTGGTAGGGACTATTAGCCCCGTTTTTACAGATGAGGAAAATGAGTCCCCAGAGAGGTGAAGCTGCTTGCACAAGGTCGCCCCGCTGGTAATTGGCAGTGCCCAAAGTCTCAGCGATTTAAACGCAGTTCAAGGTCTTAAAAACCCCTCCCTCCCCCTGCAACCATCTCCCCTATTTCTCTCTTTCCTTTCAGTCAAATTTTTGCCTGCGCCAACTCTACCCTTTACGTCCTGTTTATTCCTCAGCCTTCTTTTAATTGGACTATCCCTCCTTCATGCCACTGAAACTAGGCCCACAAGGTCAATGGCGAGTGCCCTGTTGCAAAATCCAGTGGATAAATACAACTGGAGTTTAAGATGGTCAGCCTCATTTATGCTAAAAGAAATGCCTATAAAAACTACTAAGATACTGTTTTTCATCTTTGAGGGTGGTGAATATAAAAAAGTTTGCTTAAGCTCAGTATTGGCAGGTTGGCCAGAAACAGGTATTCCCATAAATTACCAGTGGAAGTTAGATTGGAATAACCTATGTAGAGGGCAATTTGGCAAAATCCAGCAAACTAACAAATCCATATACTGTTCAGCTCCGCATTTATACTTCTAGGAACTTATCGGACAGATTCATACATGTGCTAAAAGATGTATGTATAAGATGATTCACTGCAGTGCTGTTTATAATATGAAAGAGTGGACACTCCCTAAGTGCTCATTACTAGTGGCCCGTTTAAGTAAAATCCGATACAGCCACAAAATGGAGTACTATGCAGCTGTCATTAATACTAATATGGAGGGGCACCTGGGTGGCTCAGTCGTTAAGCATCTGCCTTCGGCTCAGGTCATGATCTCAGGGTCCTGGGATCGAGCCCCGCATTGAGATCCCTGCTCAGAGAGCTTGCTTCTCCCTCTCCCTCTGCCTACCGCTCCCCCTGCTTGTGCGTGCGCGCACACGTGCGCTCTCTCTCTCTCAAATAAATAAATAAATAAACAAATAAAATCTTTTAAAAAATACTAATATGGAGCCTTGGAATGATCACCAAGATAGTTAAGTAAGACATGCAAGATGCCAAACTGTGTGGGAATTGTGTGGAAAGAAAAGGATTATATCCTAGTTATATAGAGAATGGCTAACATTTCAAATTGTCGCTGTTCCATGTCAAGCACTGTTGGGAGAGCTTCAGTGTATCACTCATTTAAATCCTCACAGCAACCCTATAAAGCAGGTACTACTACCATCCTCATTTTACATCTTTTTTTTAAAGATTTTCTTTATTTGACAGAGAGAGCAAGCACAAGCAGGGGGAGCGGCAGGCAGAGGGAGAGGGAGAAGCAGGCTCCCCACAGAGCAGGGAGCCCAATGTGGAGCTTGATCCCAGAACCCTGGGATCATGACCTGAGCCGAAGTCAGTTGCTCAACCAACTGAGCCACCCAGGCATCCAGCATCTGTTATTCTTTTTTTTTTTTATTTTATTTTCAGATTTTATTTATTTATTTGACACAGAGAGAGAGAGCACAAGCAGGGGGAGCAGCGGGCAGAGGGAGAGGGAGAAGCAGGCTTCCCGCTGAGCAGGGAGCCCGATGTGGGGCTTGATCCCAGGACCCCGTGTCAATGACCTGAGCCAAAGGCAGACGCTTAACATCTGAGCCACCCAGGCGCCCCAGCACCTGTTATTCTTTTTTTTAATAGTTTTTTAAAAATTTTATTTATTTATTTATTTATTTGAGAGAGCGAGAATGAGAGAAAGAGAGCACATGAGAGGAGGGAGGGTCAGAGGGAGAAGCAGGCTCCCCGCTGAGCAGGGAGCCCGATGCAGGACTCGATCCCGGGACTCCAGGATCATGACCTGAGCCGAAGGCAGTCGCTTAACTGACTGAGCCACCCTGGTGCCCCAGCACCTGGTATTCTTAACCACTGTGCTAACTTATCAGTACGGCATCCTATACATGTATAAAATTTATCTGATAACACTGGTTGCCTCTAAAAGGAAGGGAGAATTTCTGCTTTATACCCCCCCTCTTTGCCTGTTGAATTTTTCAAAAAAGATTTTCTTTATGTATTTGTCAGAGAGAGAGAGAGAGAGACAGAGCATAAGCAGGGGGAGCAGCAGACAGAGGGAGAAGCAGGCTCCCCACTGAGCAAGGAGCCCAGGACCCTGGGATCATGACCCGAGCCGAAAGCAGACGCCCAAGTGACTGAGCCACCCAGGCTTCCCCTTTTGAATTTTCTTAAAAGTATATTTGTTTATTTAATCTCTACACCCCACATGGGGCTCAAACTCATGACCCTGAGGTCAAGAGTCACATGCTTATCTGACTGAGCCAGCCGGGTGCCACATGTACCTTTTGAATTTTGAACCATCTGGATGTATACCTATTTTTTAAGCATCCCCATATACACACACACTCGAATTCACACAAATATGTGATGGATACCTCCCAGTTAGTGCCTTTTTGGCAAAAGAGCTTGGGTTTCGACATTCAATTGCTTGATTTTGAATCCCACCTTTCATATTTATTCCTGTATGACTTTGGACATGTAAAATAGTTTAACATGGTACCTATAAGGTTGCTGCACGGATTAAACAAGATAATCACTGTTATGCACTTAGCACAGGGCCAAATAAATGGTTCATTCTACTTCCTACACATCTCTGGAATCCACTAATTTCTCACCATCTCCTCTGCCACCTCCCCTGGCTAAGGCAACCATGGTTCCTGCCAATTTTAGCATCTCCAGTCTCTTCCCCCTCCCTTCTGTTTTCAGCACAGCCGTCAGAGCATCCATTTAAAATGCAGTTAACTATGTCACCACCCTGCTCAAACCTCTCCCATGGCTCCCCACTGCTTTTAGGAAAACTCGCAGGGTTTAGAGACTTGGCATTGAAGGGTGTGTGTCATCTGGCCCCAGGTGGCCTCTCCCACCTCATCTCTCAACAGTCTCCCTTCACTCTCTGTGTTCTGCCCATGACTTGCTGTGCCCACAATGCACCAGCCTAGCCACCACAAGCCTTTGTTTTCAAGGCCCAGTGCAATCCTATATTCTGAGTCCCAGTCTCCAATTCTGGCTTCCTTCAAATTTCAGTCCTGGCTGGATTGACACGAATTATAAAAATGAGAAATTCTTGCTCTGGGAGCTGGGATGAAACCCTAGGTCAGAACCTCCCCAGCGGTGGCCCCATCTGGGACCTTTCCCAGCACCGCTGCCAATTCCTTTGGAGTGGGGCTGACTGCCACCTTGGACAAGTCCTGTGGCATGTCTGAGCCCGCTCAGTTTGGTCTGAGGGAAACCCAGAACAGTGCCTGGCACAAAGCAAATGCCCAGTAAACCTTCACTTAGTTAATGAGATCCCAAAGGCTGGGCGATGACTACAGGCAGGGCAAGAAGCAGAAAGGAGCTGTGGGTTCTGTGCGGGAGGAGAGTGGGGTACTCTTAGGTGGTCTCAGGAAAACCAGGTGGGCCCTGAGTGGGTTCCCGCAGGCTGAGGGCCTCGCCCTTTGCTGTCACCCATGTCTTCTGTCAATGGACTTAGATTTTCTTTTTCTTAGGCAGAAGGTAGGAAGCGGGAGACAGGGTAATCCCAATTTAGCTTCCCGGAAATTCCTGATGCTGTCAGAGGACCCCTCTGCCTGACATATTACATACCAGGCTAAATCCAACGTCCAGGCCTTTCTATTGGCAGGACTCTACTCTGAGTATTCTTATCCTTTCCATCCCATCTGTCCTTCCTCAGGCTGACCTGACTGACCCCTTGTGGAATCTCTGACTTCACCCCCACTCCTCACCCAAGCCCCCACACATCCTCTCTCCTCCTCCTTCCTCCATCTCTGTCCGGTCCCCTCCCCCTCCCCCACCACCTCCACTCTGTCTCCAGCTTTTTTTGGCTGCTCTCTCTTCCTCCTCCTCCTCCCTCCTTCCCTGACGCTGAATAATCAGGCCTGGCTGTCCTGGTTTCTGGAAATATTCGTGTGTGGGCAGTGGCTCAGGGCTGAAGCAGGGGATGGATGCCTGGGGGGCACTGGGCAGCCCCAGGCCCCCAGGACAAAGACACCGAAATCCAGGGCTGTGGTCCGTGCCTGTCTCCCTCTGGGGAAGGGAGGGCAGGAGGTTTATTGAGCAGTGAAGGAGGCGTGGGAATTCAGAGGGCATGGACACAGGCCATTTCGTCTCCCAGGTCCTCCTCATCGAAGCGAGAGAGGATCGATTCCTCATCACTATACAGGGAGCTGGTCCCCTGTGCCAGCAGGTCGCTGGCGGCACTGTCCATCTCGTCCAGTGTCAGGCGACACGCATCTGCAATCTCCTGCTTGGCCAGGGCCACAAAGCGTGGGTCTCGGGCGAAGAGGCCCAGGCCCTCGGAGATGAGCACCTGGGGGTACAGATGGCATCGGAGTTGGAGAGGGCACAGCATGGAATCAAAGCAGTGTGCACAGAGGGCTCAGTGTACATAGATGATACATCATCCGTGAAGGCGTGCAGGGAAGTCACTGGGGACACTGGTGCACACGCATCATGCTGAGCAGAAGTCGCAGAGCAAAGGGATAGACAATCACACGCACAATGCAGAGACCGGAGGGTTGTGGGGGGGGCTTTTCCCTCCTTCCCAAGCTCCCACTTCCTCCCCTTCTCCCCCATCCCTCTTGCCCACGTCCCTTCTAGACTCACA